TTAACTCTGTCACACTAACTGTACAGTTACAAAGTTTTTTTTGTTTTGTTTTGTTTTGTTTTTTAAGGAACAGACATATTTTATATATAAAGTTTGTTCAGATTAGCCTTATATAGCTTTTTATGTAAGTATGTTCGTTCCCTTTTGGTCATAGCTCAATGAAAAAGGACTAACAACACTTGCAGTTTTCTTTGGACTTGAATTAGTAATGCATCCCAGAGCAAAGTCAGCTGGAGCACGAACTTACTGACCTTCCGGAATCTACTTATTCATAGAGGACAAAACCCCTCCTGGGGCTGGTGGGACTCGTTGTGTCTTTCCACTCCTGAGAGCTCACACATAGGAACAGTGGGCAAAGAGCCCTTTTCATCAGGGACCTGGGTCCGTGTGAGCCAAGCAGGAGGGCCATGGCCTGTGATGTCTCCTGACTCACTAGGGATTCCATGGACACCCCTGTTTGTCAGAGTAGCCAGATGGGCTAGCTGTTTTGTGGACTGCCTCTGTCCCTTCCCCGGCTGAGTCCCCCTGCCTATTTTTCTGACTGTCAGTCCTCAGGCAGTGACTGCGGTGCTGTGGGGAATGAGAACTGGGGGCTTTTGTTCCAGTTTTGTTGGAAGTAAGTGTGGCTCTCTGGTTAGGCATGCGTGAGTTTCTGTAACCGCTGGGTCCTCCACTGGGCCACCACTGAGAAAGGGTACCATTCCTTCTGTGGGTGCAACCCTGTGAGCCTCAGTTCAGAAGCAGGAGGGGGAGAGGACTGAGGGGACACCCCTTCCAGTGCTACCTGGACCACCTGTGGCCCTTAGGCAAACCTGTAGACTTTTCAGAATCCGCTTGTTGTTTGAACACAGATTTACAAGTGCTCTAGGCTACACAACAGATGGAGGGGCGCTGTCTTGCTTGGAGTGCAGAGGGTCCTGGAGACATGAGTGCTTGGAGTGTTCCCCTTTCCTGCCCGGCACATTGAGGAATACTGGGCTCTGGAAAGTTGCACATGAGAACCACCTGCCAGCTGGTGTCAGGTCCTGCCCAGATTGCCAGGACATTGTCATTCCAGGAGATGTTCTACTCAAGATTCCTTCCCGACCTCTGCCATTCAGCATCAGAGACGAGTGAGAGCCAGGCAGAGAGCAGCACATCCGGGGCTCCTTCCTAGATCATCCCCTATGGTCACCATCCTGGCTCAGTTACTATGTCAACATACACCGATACTAGTAGAAAAGAGAACTGCACCTGAGAAATCTGCTTCCCTGGTTGCTAGGCCTGCCTTCTCTCTGCCTGGAGACAAGGGTCTCTGTGGGAGACTATAAGACAGCCGAGACTCAAAGGCAGTTTGTGTGGCATTGTGGGAGGCGGGGCGACATGAGAATCTATGTTCACTGCATTGCAATTGTGCAAGGCTGATGGGTGTGGAAGCTTGCCATGCTGATGGAGAGCCCTACAGATGATCACGACCTTATAGTACATGTTGTATGCTGTATCCACTGCTGGAACTGGCCTCTCTGAAGCCCACCACTACCATTTAATTTTAATGGTTTCAGTGAGCGGTGAAGGCCAAGTTGCATCACTGTGTATGCACACCCTTGGTAGGACCAGCCCAGTAAACACAGGGCCTGTGTTCCAGGACTCTTGATTTTTATCTTACAATTTTGTCCTGTTGTCAAGGAAACATCCCAATTTTAGACATCTGAACTGTGTCATTAGGACTGCCTCTCATACCCACAGGCAACCCCCCAAGTCCTTGGGCAGAGCGTGTGTTGTAATTTGGGGTTAAAGAATACGGTGTCTGCAGCCGACTCTTTAGAGTTCACCGAATCAGTGGGAGTCGGTGCCCGGCTGGTACACGGTATGTTCTTCCAGACACTGTTCTGTCAAAGCATGGGAATACTGACTTGAATTACTTACTCCATTCCAAGTTCAAATTGGCAATGCCAGTCAAATAAATTGGGCAAACTATGATGGATGGTGAGATGGATAAATGAGCAGTCAGGCCTTCAGAGAAACCACCAGATTCATCTTATTTAATATTTTGTGACAAGACAGTTGAAAGCATGGTGTTATGGGAATCAATCTGATACTCTTTATCACACATTTATTATAGATGGATAAAACAGTGACACAAATAAGAAGTCTTGGGCCCCGTGCAATAGCCTAGTGGCTAAAGTCCTTGCCTTGAATGCACTGGGATCCCGTATGGACGCTGGTTCTAATCCCGGCGGCCCTGTTTCCCATCCAGGTCCCTGCTTATGGCCTGGGAAGACAATCGAGGACGGCCCAAAGCCTTGGGACCTTGTACCCCCGTGGGGGACCTTGTACCCCCGTGGGAGACCTGGAAGAGGCTTTGGGTTCCTGGCTTGGAGTCTGCTTGGCTCTGGCCATTGTGGCCGCTAGGGGAGTAAATCAGCAGATGGAAGATCTTCCTCTCTGCCTCTCCTCCTTTCTATATATCTGACTTAACAATTTAAAAAAACCTTTTTTTTTTTTTTTTAAATAAGGCGTCTTTAGGAATATGGTCTGCTAGTCTGGGAGCAGAGGTGTGAGCAGTTGGGCTGCCTGGGCTGGAGCCCTGTGTGTGGTGATTGGGCATGTTCCAAACTTCTTGTATGTGAGATGCGGATACTAGGGGTACCTACCTCCAGGCTGTGTCAACATTAGATGAATTAATAACATGAAAACTGTTCACTTCTGGGTCTGGATGGCAGAGACATTTAACTGTCAGGACTTGCTCTACAAAGCAGCCAGCATGGAGAATGGCTTTGGCAGAATGCAACTCAATATTTTCCTGAGCAGATTTCTGTCTTTCCTTCCATCCATCCATCCATTTCAAACTCAATTCTTGCAAGACCACAGCACTCAAAGTTGTGCGTATGAAAATGAAGGCTGAGAACTCTGCGGCCTCTGCCTATCTCTCCTCCAGACCTTAGGAACTGCTGCAAAGAGACGGTCGGGGAATTTTAACTTCATGCACACTCTGACAGCCACCGAATCCACCAGGAACCTTCATGACAGGGGACACTTTGGCTTATCCCTCGGCTGGGTGCCTGGGACCCCCTCCTGGTTTAACCTCATATATTCTGCAGTTTCGTCTGGCTGAAAATTCACAATCATCACAGGGTGGAAATTACAATATCATAAAGCCATAATCCAAAAAATGAATGGGACTCGAGTGATCAGAATTATTCAGTAACTACTCACTCTTAATTTATTTAAAGGCTAATAAAATATGGCTTTTCAACATGCTTGCTTAATTTGAAAGGTAGAGAGAGGGGCATCTTTATCTGCTGGTTAATTCCCAAGTGCTTGCAAGTCAGGGCTGACAGGCTGAAAGCAGGAGCCTGGAACTTCCCAACTCCATCTGGGGTCTCTCAAGAGGGTGTCAGGACCCAGGCACTGGGGCCATCGTCTGCTGCCTCCTGGGCACATGAGCAGGAAGCAGGATCAGAAGAGGAGCAGCCAGGGCTTCAAACAGCCTCTCGGATGTGGCCTGCAGGTCTCCCACAGAGCGGTGAACCCACTGCAGCCCAGTTTGAAAACACGGCCATTGTAGATAATGCACTGCCTTCCTAGACACATCTTTCCCTGCAGCCTAACTGCTGCCATGAATACATCCCGTGTGTACCCAAAAGGAAGCGGTCCTCAAGTCTTCCCTACATTGCTTTTCCAAAATGCCACTTTCCAACACAATTCTGACAACTCATTTTCTTCTTTACTAGTTCACTGTTTTTCTTTCTCCTAACTATCTAGAGATATTTGCAGAATCCTGCTGATGTAAGAAGTTGTCAAGGGTTTTGAGTTCGTTCTTCAACCTAGACCACAGCAGGGTGGGCCAGGATGCTCACCTGACAGGTTAGTTTCCATTATGAAGTTGAAACCAGTTGCTGGCTAAGTTCACACTCTACCTCAAGCATCCCAACTTCCTGGTCCTCTTGAGCCTTCTGAGATTCCTGTCTCATTGTCTAGGATGTCTGGAGAGTGTATTTGTGACTCACATTACACATTCTCAGTTATCTTTAGATGATTCTTTACTTATTGCCTGCCCATCGATACATGCATTTAGAACCCTGTTGTTTTATTAGCAGTATATTACATTGTGCATGGTTCTACAATTGGGCCAGCACAATAGCTCAACTGGCTAATTCTTTGCCTTGCAGCACTGGCACCTCATAAGGGCACCAGTTAATGTCTCAGTTGCTCGACTTCTTGTCCAGCTCCCTGCTTGTGGTCTGGGAGAGCAGTAGAGGATGGGCCAAAGCCTTGGGACACTTGGCACCCCTGTGAGAGACCCAGAAGAGGCTCCTGGATCCTGCCTTCAGATCGGCTCAGCTCCTGCCATTGTGGCTACCTGGGGAGTGAACCAGCGGATGCAAGATCTTTTTCTCTGTCCCTCCTCTCTATAATCTGCCTTTCCAATAAAAGTAAATAAATATTTTTTAAAAAATGAATAGTATATCTTGGTTATCTTTCCCTCTTGGTATATATAGAGTTGCTTCATTCTTTTCAATCACTGCCTAATATCCAGCCACTCCTTACTGATGGCTGTCAGGTTGGTCTTGATTTCAGAACTACCAATTCTGCCTAAGATTCCCTTACACAGGCTCAAGAAGCATGCACCTATCTCCTTTGGACATACACTGGGACATGGGACCCCATAAATGTGCACTGTTCATTTGACAGGGCAACCCCCCTCCTGTGTTCAATGTTCACACCCAATGGCAGCATACAAAAGCATCTGCTTTTCCACTGGCTTGTCAATATCCCTTTCTACCTGTTTTACCCGCAGACAGAATTTATGTACTGGGCTTGGGGTTGTGAGATTATGAGACCGGGTCAGATTTGCATTTCTCCCCTCATCTCAAGGTGTTTAAGAACCGGTATTCAATACACACTCATGAGGTGCTCTCCAACCAGACGTTCTTTGCTTGTGTTTGTATGATGCACACCATGCAAAAGCAGTAGCCAAGACGGTGTCTAATGTCAAAGTCACTTCTCCAGAATAAAGATCACGCAGCAAGCTGGTTGAATTTCTGCGCATGCTCTCCAAATACCACCTCCTGAACAAGTTTCAGAGAACTTTGTTGCTCAAAGTTGCCGAAGACAGCATTTGCCTCCTGCTTTGCTGGCAGGAGGCAGTGAAAACAGACTGGCTGTCTCAGACAAGAGCTAGCAGGGTGTCCCACCCACTGGGAGATGGCAGAGCAAAGACAGCTCATGACCGTGAGAATCAGACAGAGGCCGGACAGGGGCCGGGAGGGGTGGGGGTCAGAATCTGCATGGGCATTCGGGGTCCAGACTTCCTAAGGAGGAGAAACCATCAGCAAGGGCTAAAGCCAGGCAATGAGTGGGCACAGGAGAGAGTGTCAAGGCAAGAAAATTACACACAAGTTTGCAGATAGGACAGGGAAGATGTGGATACTGGGATGTGAGAGAAGTGTTTCCATAGGTGGGGGCCTGTATTTACTGACATGACTAAAGTAATTCTGAAAATAGGTCACATTCTACCAGCGCTGTGAGCCCTGGACATTTCCTTCCACTTTTTCTGAAAGCCTGGAGAACTTGCAGCTCAGTATGAACACGCCAAGTCACGTCTGTGGTGAAGCATCCTAAACTAGCAGGCATTCTTGCTCTAAGGTGCTCTTTCCCTCACACCCATTGGGTCATATCAGAGCTAACTGTGCTGCGCTGGGAGGGGACATCTCAAGGTAAACAGAAGAAAAGCAAGCCAGATTGACTCTTCCTACCTGTCCTCCAGGATCTCCAGGTTGGTCTAGGGGGAAAGGGATAATTCCTCTGAGCCGCACCCAGGTTGTTCTAGCAGGGGAGCTGGGCTTGTGGAAGGTGAGGGAGACAGGTCCACTGTGCCCCTCATGCACGCAGGCACCTGCTCTGCGTGCCAAAACCCGCTGCTAGGCAAGAGACCTAATGAAGAGCCACAGGGGTCCATTTCTTGCCAACAGCAGTCAGTGGCCTGCGGGAGAGGGGGCTCACCTGGCCTACAGGGCACCAGAGGTCCTTCGGCCATTGTTGTGGCGAACAAAGAGGGCAGGAGCTGAGAGCGCCCCCACGAGGAGAGGTGGGAAAAGACAGCCCCGGGCGCGATGAGGGAGTCTGGCGAGGCTGAACCAGGGTGAGCCGGGATAGCAGGCTGGCTGGGAGCCCGGGGACTCAGGGTTGGTCCCTGCGCGCGTTTACACCCTCTAGGGCGCCCGGCGCTGCCCTTTCCCACGCCGAGGCTACTCTCACTTTTATTTCCTTTTTATCTAATATTATTTTTTTTTTTTCCCGCGCAAAGAGGGAACCCGGGATTGCCCAGGAGGAGCCGTGAAGGGGCCGCCATTTCCCGGTGAAAGCGCAGCGCGCGTCGGCACCGGGCGCCCCGGAAAGGGAACCGGAGGGGAGTGCCCAGCCCCGCGCCCTCCTCCGCGCCAGCTCCGGGTGCACGCCCGCCCGCCAGCCGGCCCGTTACATCCGTGGCTGCGCAGCAATCCCCGGACCTCGCCTCCGCCTCCGGGCGTCCCCGGCCTGACCTTCGCCGGCGCCGCCCGCCCCGCGGACCCCGGTCCTTTCCCTCCGCCAGGCGGCTCGGCGCCCGTTCCATTGTCAGCTCGGAACACCAGGCACCCAGCCCGGGCACCTTCGGAGGCTCCAGGTCGGCCGTCTCTGGGCTCCGTTGGCCCTGGCGCAGACCCGGTCCTACTCCCAGGCCTCCTGGCGGCTGGGCGCCTCCCACCTCCTTCTTCTGCGCCCCAAACTCCACATCCCCAAGCCTCTCGAGGCTCCCTCCAGGTCCAGCCGCGCCCGGGGCCCACCGCCAGACCCTGCATCCCTCTTCTCGCCCTCCCTTGTAGCCCAAGTCGCCCTCGGCCCCCTGGCCGGCCTCAGGAATCTGACCGCTTCTTTAGCATTGCCCTCCCCCCCTTTATTTCCCGAGGAACCAAGTTGGGCAGCTGGATGTATTATTTTTTTTTGCAGGGGGTGACTGGGTACCCGGGGCGGGGGTGCGCCTGCAGCGGCAGGGGCGAGAGGTAGGGGTGGCCCTCTCGGGCCCCTGCACTGCCCGGGCGGCGCGTTTTGTTTCCAGACCCGGAGCCCCCGAAACAATAATGCCATGGCCATGGCGGGCTCACCTGGTGCTGCGCCGCCTGCTCCGCGCGCCCGCTGCCCTCTGCGCGCCCCTCCCCGGGCGCAGGTTCGGCCCGCGCGGCGCCGGTGCCGGGCAGGACTCTTTGCCTTTCTTTGGGTTTTATCTGTGCGTGTCAATGGCGGCAACGGCAGTTCTCTGGGCCGCGGATAGTAGCGGGGGGGAGGAGGAGGAGGGAGAAGGGATTGCTCCTTCTCCACATAACCACCTCTAGGAGGAGTCGCTCAGCCTCATCCCCCGCCAGCCCAGGCGCCGCGACGGGCCCGGGGCTCTCGGTGGGGTTTGATGAGCTATTGTCCTCTAGGAACCAGCGTACGTTTTGCCGAGGAACTGCGGTGGCTGGGCTGGAGGCACCGCGGGCTGCTCGCTAGCATCAGGCTGTCCCCGGATTTGGCGACAGAGGCGTCCTAGTGGTCACCATCCGGCGCGTCCTGTTCGCTGGATTCACCTTTGGTGGGAGCAGGCGGCGTGCGTGCGTGGTGGACGTGGAAATGCCACCCTCGAGGGTCTCTTGTCCCTGAAATAACACGTCCAGAAACATCTGTGTCCACCTCCGAGAAGACTGGCCTGGGGCAGCCACGGTGGCCAGGCGGAGAATTTCTATGCGCGTCTGGCCCCTTTCTAGAAACGAGTACCTAAATAATTCAGAATCTGCAGTGGTGTAATATTTGGAGTAGCAGATGGATGTTTTGGTAGTTAACACCAAGGGCACGGGCGTAATTTTTAATTGGGTTGCTTTATAGTGTGTAAATTTGTCATATCCCATGGCTAGAAGGGTTCTGACGAGGCTATTGTTTTAAGGACTGGGTCTTATTAGTTTCTAGAAAACACATCTTTATGGGGTGGCGTGGTGCAAGCGGCAGGGGATTAAGGACTGCTTCTTGCTCCTGGAGCCCATCCACTCTCCTTTGTGTCTGAGGAGTGGGAGCCGCTCGTGGGCTGTCCATATTCCTTTGATTTCTCCTTGAAAGAGGAGCCCCTGGAAGCGGAATTCTGCTGCCTTGGTCACAACCACCATCTCTGAAAGCCCCCAGCACTTGGTGACCCTGAGCTTCTGGTTGTGGGCTTGTAACTGTTTAGGTTGGGGTGGGGCCTTGGTGGGGGAGTGACTGAAAGCCTCTGTTGGGCCTGAGTGGGGACCCCTCTGGGTCTGTGCTAGGCAGCTATGGCTGCGGAGAGCAGGAGTAGGTAGGTAGCATTCGAACTTTAGAACACGGTCCGTTTTGTTTATTTGAGAGACAGAGTGACAGAGACAAGGGACGCAGTGAGAGCTCTTGTCTGCTGGTTTACTCCTAGATGCCTGGCCAGGCAGAAGCCAGGAGCTGGGAACTCTATCCAGGGCTCCTGGGTGAGCCATCACCAGGGCTGCATTAGCAGGGAGCTGGAGCTGGGATTTAAATGAGAGGTTCTGATGTAGGGCAGTAGTCACTGGGGTGAATGTCTGCTCTCATGTATATTTATTATTTTAAGATATTATTTATTTGAAAGGCAGATTTATAGAAAGAGAGAGAGTGATTGATCTGCTGGTTTACTCCCCGAGTTGTGACCTGGTGAAAACCAGTACTTTGGGGCTTCATCTGAGTTTGCCACATGAGTGCAAGGGCCTAAATGCTTAGACCATCTTCTGCTGCTTTCCCAGGCTAGAAGAAGGGAACTGGATGGGAAATCCAGCAGCAGCCAGCACATGAACCCAAGCCTGTCTGGGATGCAGGCATGGCAGCTGTGGTGGCCTTCCCTGCCACATCACAATGCTGGCTTCTCCATGTGCATTTTAGACAAGTGAATTAGACATATGCCATTTAGATAAGATCCCTGAGAAACCGGCAATCTTTCCTACTTCACTGTAACCTCTTGTGTTTCCTAAAGGTAGGAGTACACCTCTTGCTGTTTAAATTCACTGGGACTTTGGCAACTCCGCTGATCTCAACAATCTGATTGCGGAGTCATCTTTAACCATCTCCTGAAGCCCATTTGCTTTCTCTGTGTACTCTCCCTCTGGGAGGATAGTTCCCAGGTCAGAACACCCGTCGGAAAGTCCTCTTTTGCCCAGGCATCTGTTGAAAGAATTTAAGGAATCCTTTTGGCCATCTCAGCAGTGTCTTCCCCATCTTTGGAGGTAGTACTGGTCTTTCCTCATCTATAGCTTTCTGGGGTCAGCATTCAACAGAGTTCCCCAAGCGTGGCTGGAATGCTTGCAAAATATTCCTACTCTGACTCCCAGTCAGTGTGGCTGACTGAAACATCGTTGAAATCATTCATCAGTTTATGCTAGGTGCTTATTCTCCCTGTCCAGTGAAAATGAAAACTCATTTTACATGAGTTTTATGTAACTTGTTCCATCTCACAATCTTATCATGTGGTAGCTATCATGAGAAAGGCAGGTCTGAAATTTCCTAGTTAGTATTTTGCTATTTTGTCCTGGTTGGTTTCTTCAAATGCAGATGCTGCTTGACTTTTGACAAGGTCACAACCTGGGAACCCCATGCTCAGTTGGAAAGATCGCAGGTTGCAGGTGTGTGCGGTCCATCTAACCCATGGAGTGTCACAGCTCAGCGTCACGACTTCCTGCTAACTGGATGTGATTTCTCCTCAAGATGACTGGGTTATCGGGCAGGAGATTGCTAACCTAGGAAAAGGTTGAAATTCAGAGTTTAAAATATGAAGAGTGATTTGGGATGTTGCCAACAGCACAAAGTTGAAAAATTGTAAATTAGAAGTCAGGGACCCTGTGTAGACAATACAACGGCAACTCAGAGAATTAAGGGAGACATCAGATTTATAATACTCTGGTTCTGTGATTTGATGGGTCAGAGCCATTTAGTGTCCCACCCCCGTGGTGTTACAGGAGGCAGTCTGGTACTTGGTCAGGTTTCAGCCAGGCGCACACAGGCAGTTAGTGCCAGGACTTACAAAACTCCCCGCCCCACCGCCCGCCATCTCTTGTGGTTTCCAATGACTGCACACTCTCCAGGATGTATAGGACACCAACGCACAACTTGGTCTGTAGACCTAATTAAAACATGTATTGTGAATACTGAACCTGAAACCCATCCCCAAATATTTAATGTAAGGATGGGATCCAGTGCCTCGGTGATGTTGGGTTCTGTCATGGCCTCTAGTTCAGGCAACCCTGAGAAGCTGACCAGCAAATGATTCCGAGACCCCACTCTTACTGAGTGCCTCCTGTCGGCACTGTGCTAAGCTTCACTCTTTACAGTACGTCCAATCCTCCCACTACTATGCGGTGAGCAATGTTTTCTTGTTTTCACAGATGGGGAAAGCTGAGGCAGAGAGTGGAGGAGAAGTTTATTCACAATTAAAGGGTTAGATGGTAAGAGGTTCGTGTGCTTGCCCACTGTCTGAATCTGTCACAGGACAGTGCAAGCTCTTTAAACAAAGAAGTTTACACTGAATCATGTGATGGAAAGCCCCTCGGGCCCCTCCGAATCCATATCCCAGAGAATCAGCAGACAGCCTTGTTTGATTACCATTGAGCTGAAAACAGGTTCTTAACCTTTGACCTGTAAATGTGCCTAATACTATGAATACATGTATCGATTTGTGAGTTGACTCCATTAGCAACAAGGAGGTGGAGTAAAATTTCGTTGGAGATGCAGAATGAATTGCTTCTCTATTAGAGATAACATGTTGAATTGGTTAAAAAAAAAATCAAATGAATTAGACGTGCCACTGTGTTCCGGTCCTGTTAGATCTTTTAGTAATTCACTGATGAACTGTTTTATTTATATTTATTTATTTATCAAGCATTTTTAGACTTTTCCTTCTTCTCTGTTTTAAGATTTATTATTTTTATTGGAAATGCAGGATCAGATTTACACAGAGAAGGAGAAACAGAGGGAGAGATCTTCCTTCTGCTGTTTCACTCCTCAAAGGAACACAACAGGCATAAGCTAGTCTGAAGCCAGGAGCTTCCTCTAGGTATCCCACATGGTGCAGGTCCCAAGGCTGGGCCGTCCTCTGCTGCTACCCCAGGCCACAAGCAGGGAGCTGGATGGGAAGTGGAGCAGCTAGGATATAACCCAGCACCCTTATGGGATCCTGGCACTTGCAAGGTAAGGATTTAGCCATTGAGCCATTGTGCCTGGCTGAGACAATCTATTTTAAAAGCTGCTGTATCCATTTTGCTCTCTCACACTTTTTTTTTTTAAAGCTCTTTTTAATCCAAAGTGCTGATGATGTTTGTCGGAGGAACCTGTATTTTCCATGATGAGTTCTAATTCAGTGCATGACAGAATCTTGGGGTACAGTTATTCAGTTAGTTCCCTGGTTTGTGTCTTCCAGAAGGACTGTGTGCAAGTACAAGAGCACTTGAAAAAGTTGTGGAGAAATGGAATTAAAAGATAAGTTGATTTTGGTGCAAGAAACTTTTGAAATGCATATGAAAGAACTTCTCCATGTGCTTGGATTTCAAAACCCTTTGCTTCAGAATAAACTTAGTTTTTAAATGAGTTTTCCCATAGACTTTTTGAAGTGCCCTTGTATTTGTTAACGTATGTGAGTAAGGTTTGTGTATTTGGATTCATTACAGTTGAGAATTTCTTAACTCCTTTGAAGTAACCTGAGATTCCCTGGGAGTGTCTTAGAAACAGATGGAAAGTGCGGGTTTCAGCTCTGCTTGGGCTGTACTTTGGCAACTCTTGATCCTGCATTAACTCCATCCAGAAACCAACGCCCGGCACGATGGCTAAATCCTCACCTTGAAAGCACCAGGATCCCATATTGATCACCGGTTTGTGTCCCAGCTTCTCCACTTTACATCCAGCTCTCTGTGGCTGTGGATAGGAAGCGGAGCCGCCAGGATTAGAACCAGCGTCCATGTGGGATCCTGGCGCTTTCAAGGCGATGACTTTAGCTGCAAGGCCACGCCGCCGGGCCTGGTAGTGGTGTATTTTGAACACCAAGCGTAATTAGTGCTAATGCTTATTTCCTTGGTTAGAATGGGTGGCTTTAGGATCTGATTCATTTGCAGAGAACAGTGTCCTGCAAAGACAGACAGGCAGTCCTACCAACAAAATACTTTCTGAGAGTCTCTGCTGAACATGGAACCCTTCGGTTCCAGGGTCAGGAATTTGCCCAAGTGAGTGTGTATCTGTGCATGTGGAAAAATAAAATTAAACGAT